CAAACTGGGAAATCTAGCAGAAATAGATTGCGGGACACATACAGCCAACCTAAATTGAAGCTTGAAGATATAGAAAACATAAACAGACCCAGAACCAAGACAGAAATTTAATCAGTAATAAAGGCCCTCCCAACAAAGAAAAGCCCAGTACCAGATGGCTTCACTGCTGAATTCTACCAGATATTTAAAGAACTAACTGAAATTCCTCTCAAGTTATTCAAAATAATTGAAAGGGAGGGAATCACCCAAAATTCTTCCTATTATTTCAGCATCACCTTAATTCCTAAACCTGAAAAAGATGCAACAGAAAAACAGAATTACAGACTAATTTCCGTGATAAACATAGACACAAAAATACACAACAAAATTCTAGCCAATTGAATTCAACAACACATCAGAAAGATTATCCACCCAACCAAGTGAGATTTATCTCCGGTATGCAGGGATGGTTCAACATCTGCATATCAAATAATGTGACACATCACATTAACAAACTAAGGAATGAAAATCATATGATCATCTCAATAGATGCAGAGAAAGCATTTAATAAAATAAAACACTCTTTCATGATGAAAATTCTAAGTAAATTGGGTATAGAAGGAAAATTCCTCAACACAGTCAAGGCAATTTATGACAAATCCATGCCCAGCATGGGGAAAAGTGGAAGCACTCCCAGTGAGATCTGCTACCAGACAAGGATGCTCTCTCTCACCAATGCTATTCAATATAGTCCTAGAAGTATTAGCTGGAGACATTAGGCAAGAAAAAATAATCAAATGGATACATACTGGGAAGGAGGAAGTCAAACTATTCCTATTTGTAGATGACATAATTCTATATATAGAGGATCCAAAAGACTCCACCAAGAGACTATTGAAACTCATAGAAGAGTTTGGTAAAGTATCAGAATATAAAATTAATACATAAAAATCAACAGCCTTTGTAGACACAGACCATGCCAAGGCCGAGACTGAACTTCTAAGATCAATCACATTCATGATAGCTACAAAAATAATCAAATATCTTGGAATAAATTTAGCGAAGGATGTCAAAGATCTCTACAATGAGGATTATAAAACATTAAATTAAGAAACAGAAGAAGATACAAAAAAATGGAAAAATCTTCCATGTTCATGGTTGGAAGGATCAATATCATCAAATTGTCTATTCTTCCAAAAGCAATTTTTCAGATTCAATGTGATACCGGTCAAAATACCAAAGGCATTCTTCTCAGATATAGAAAAAATGATGCTGAACTTCATATGGAAACACAGGAGAACTCAGACAGCTAAAGCAATCTTATACAACATAAACAAAGCCAGAGGCATCACAATACCAGAATTCAAGACATATTACAAGGCAGGTATAACCAAAATAGCCTGGTACTGGTACAAAAACAGCTAGGCTAATCCTCTGCCTGCAGCACCGGCATCCCAGGTTCTAGTCCTGGTTGGGATGCCGGATTCTGTCCCAGTTGCTCCTCCTCCAGTCCAGCTCTCTGCTGTGGCCCAGAGGGCAGTGAAGGCTGCCCCAAGTGCTTGGGCCCTGCACCCTCATGGGAGACCAGGAGGAAGCACCTGGCTCCTGGCTTCAGATTGGCGCAGTGCGCCATCCACAGCATACTGGCCATGGTGGCCATTTGGGGGTGAACCAACGGGAAAGGAAGACCTCTCTCTCTCTCTCTCTCTCTAACACTGCCTGTCAAAAAAAAAAAAAAAGATGGTTAGACCAATGGAATAGAATAGAATCACCAGAAATCAGTCCAAGTACCTACAACCAACTTACATTTCACCTAGGAGCTAAAACCAATTCCTGGAGCAAGGACAGTCTATTCAACAAATGGTGTTGGGAAAACTGGATTTCTGCATGCAGAAGCATGAAGCAAGACCCCTACCTTACACCTTACACAAAAATCCACTCAACATGGATTAAAGATCTATATTTACCATCATATTATTAGAGAACAATTGAGAATGGATCTCAGTGAGAAAGAAGAGTGGCAATAAGAGGGGGAGGAGGAAGTTTGTGACTATAAATCTGTATAGTTCTGCATACATTTCTAAAGACTAACTTCTAAGGGTACAGTTTAAAAACTTGTCCTGGGGGGTTGGTGCCGTGGCTCACTAGGCTAATCCTCCACCTATGGCACCAGCACCCGGGGTTCTAGTCCCAGTTGGGGTGCCTGATTCTGTCCCCGTTGCCCTTCTTCCAGCCCAGCTCTCTGTTGTGGCCCAGGAAGGCAGTGGAGGATGGCCCAAGTGCTTGGGCCCTGCACCCGCATGGGAGACCAGGAGGAAGCACCTGGTTCCTGGCTTCAGATTGGCGCAGCATGCTGTCCGCAGAACACTGGCCATAGCAGCTACTTGGGGAGTGAACCAACAGAAAAAGGAAGACCTTTCTCTCTCTCTCTCTTTCTCACTGTCTAACTCTGGACGAAAAAAGAAAAAAACAACAACAACAACAAAAACACTTGTCCTGGGATCCCAAATTCCATTAAGCTGAGTGATAAAATGTCATCTTAAATGTTAAAGTGATCATATTATGTGTTAATATGAATATATAAATAGGATTAAGTGTTAAAGTGACCATATAAATAGGATCATGTCAGGTAATTATAATAGGCAGAATTAAAAAGGAGAGAATGTTCCAACATGGGAAGCAGTCCACACAGTCAACTCACGGAATGACAATTGCTTTAAGTAACACTCCAACCTCAGAAGCCCTTAAGGCTTCCTGTTCTGGCTGAAAAGCCCGTGAGAGAATTACTGGCATGGAAAGCCAAAACACTGTGGCAAAAAATATTCTACATGAAACATCTCTGCGAGTGAGATCTCAACAAAAAGAAGTAGTCATCAAATAAGGATGTAATTTTCTATAAAGAGAGGAAAGAACTTCACTTTTTCTTATGGCCTTGTTTAAACACCAACAGAGTTTGTGTTTCAAAAAGCTTCCATAGCCTAGGCAGCGCATGTCAAGAGCCTCAGATGGTCATTGACGTTATACATAAGAGTGTTAATTGTTAAATTAATGACAGGAGTCACTATGCACTAACTCCTCATGCAGGACCTCTGTCCTCCATGAGTTGTATTATGAGAGTTACCTGTGATACTTGTTCTCAGTGTGTGTGTGTGTGTGTGTGTGCATGTTTGTACAAATTATTGAAATCTTTACTTGGTATAGAGTTGGTCTTCCGTGTACAAAGTTAATTGAAAATGAATCCTAATGGAGAATGGTACTGGGATGGGGGAGGGAGGGGAGAAGTCTGGGGAGGGGGGGGCAGGTATAGTGGGAAGAAAAACTATATTCCTGAAGTTGTACATATGAAATTTGTATTCCTTAAAAATTAATTCATTAATTAAAAGAAATTTAAAAAGAAATCACTGGTATTTTCTTACCTGGTCTGGTTTCAAGTTTTACCTGTAAGTCATTCAAATAATGGCTCAGAATGCTGATCAATTATCAACAAAAATCATTTTTATCTGCAAAAGGAATCTCTGCTTGAAGTCAAACTCACATGGGACCACACTGCTTGACAGTGTGGGAGAAATAAGTCTTCTTATAATGCTTGTCAGATAGTAAATGACCAAAGAAGGGCACCAAATAGTTCTTTTCAAACACATTTGGAATGTAGCTGCTTGCTTTATGTTAAAGAAGTTGTCCTAAATCTGCTGAAAGCCGACCTATTCAAGTTGCTAAGTTTTCTGCAATTCTCCCTTTACTGATGCTGTTCTATTTGTCTTGCTCTGTAACAAGCAAAGAAGTCCCTTGAATCTTCTTTCCTTTCTGCAATGTTCTCAATTGTTTATATTTATCTTTTGGATTACCTTAAGTATTTTATTAATTGTCTAACTACCTCAAATCTCACTGGAATCTTTATCATTTTACTAAGTCTAAAAATGAATCTGTGAAATTATGACATATTTAAAATATTGATCCATACCCAAGGAAAAATAAAGGCTAACCTCTAAAAGGGCTGACCAGGTGCCATGTGTCAATCTAAGATCTTTTCCTCTGAAAACTCACATAATCTCCATGACAGTTTTGAGAGGAAAGTACACATTTACAGATGTAGGACTCAAGCATGAGGAAATAATCCTTTAAAAAAGCCACTGGCATGGTACTTTCACATTCATTTTTCTTCAGTGCACAGTTATCATAAGCGCTCATTCACTCACTTGCTTGCTGTTTCTCTCTCCCACTTTCTTATCCTCACATTTTTTTATTTTCCATTTCATTCTGAAATCTTCTTTCTATATCTGATTTGCCTTTCTCATTATTTCTCCTACATAGTTGATCGTATTTTGCTATCTTGAAGTTTAAATTTTGTTGTTTGAATGATTAAAAATTTTGAAACCCATGCATGTGAGGATTTCCAAAAAGATCATGGTAAATGCATATGATAAAAAAACTATACATAGATTTCAAAAATGTTTATTTTAATTCAGTTTTTCACAAACTTTTTCAAGTACCCTCTTATGTGAATTTTGATGTAGACACTGGAGATAAATAGCAAATCATAATCTATGAAATGTGGGAGGGATAGTAGAGTGGGAAGTATCATTATATTCCTGAATCTGTATATAGGAAATACATGAAATTTGTATACCTTAAATAAAATTATATATATATTATATATAACTCTTTTATATAATATATATAAAGAAATGTGGGTAAGAAAGAAGAGGGGAGAGAGAAGTTTCAGGATGAAATTATATCATCTATGGTTAATGCTTCTTGCATGTCAGCAAGAAAATCCTGAGATTCTATCTTTCACCTGTTAGAACCACTTGGAGGTAATGCAACTGGGGAGGAAGGCAACTTCCTGCATCCTAAAGAGCCTCAGGTTAAGCCAGTAGGGAAACTGTCTCCACTTTGCCCCATGGAGGTGAATAATTGCCACTTTACTGCTTATTCTAGAGCAGAAAGAGAGCTATAAGTTGTGGTTCACAGTACAGGATGACAACTCAGCTCAATTAATGTTGATTCTTGAACAATTCCAGGCTGAAGTTCACCATTCTCGGGCCTCCATGGACTGGATTTTCACCCTCAGAAGACTTCATGGAATCCACTTATGGCCCCTGAGGCCAACACCAGATCTCAGCCAGGCTGGGGATACTTGAAGCTCCATCATAACCCAATGGAGCATACAGGCTCTTGGCCATCTGGTGTCCCCTGAGCCTACCCTTCTCTGATCTATGCCAGACTGGGCATATGCTAGGATATTTCAGGACCCTGGGGGTGAGGCAAAATGTCATAGAGCCAGTATGAGGTAAGCTTCCATTGCTCTTGCTTATGGCATGAATAGAAATGAGACTGAGTGGAAGGGGGTAGCTAGAAGATGTCATTGTTAAATCAAAAGTGTGATGGGTCAAGGTTAGAACACTAGATACAACTTCTGGACTTTCTGATCAGTTTATTTCCATAAAATAAACTTTTAAAAGGTCTAACGATGAAAAAGCTCCAATACTTGTATTTACAAGATTTCACCCATTTGACTTCATTTAAGTCTAATGTCTCCATACTCCGAGGAAGGAAACTTTAAGAATCTGCTTTATTGGTGATGTCCCTTTTTTTAGGGGACTCAGAAAGAATGCCCACAGGAATGAGTCATTGCTTCAGCATTTAGGCTGTTGTTAAAAACAGATTCAGACTTCTGTGTTGTTATTTGTATCACTAAGTGGTAGTTCAGCAATTAGATGCTGCCTCTTATATAAAGGCTAAGATTCCCAGGCATTCTGGTAAGCAAATTGGGAAGAAGTGGGGAGGAAACTGCTGGGGGCAGGAAGGCTGCCAGGTGGTGGGGGCAGAAGGAGGGACCGTCTCAAAGGTTGAGTGAAAGGAGTAGATAGCAGAAAAATCCACATTTGTGGAGACGATGTGATCATGGAATCATGGAGGACCAATAAGTAATGGGAACTCCACAGAATACCGGAAAACAGGGGGCTCCTTTTCATCCTAGAGTTCCCACCTAAACTACTGAGAGAAAAATACAATAATGCACATCAAGGGAATTGGTTTTCCTCATCATTGAAGGATGACTGATTTTACAGAGTTCACTTTGCAGCCTTGAGAAGAGCTCTGTTTTGTGTATCAATTTGTGCCCATTTTCCGGCATTCACAAGTTGCAAGGAAATAATGCCGAGTTATTTAAACATCATTCATTTTGACTGTTGAGGCCTGTGATGCATCTTTTAAAGCCATTTTCACAAAATACAAAGATGTGCTCTCTTTTTAGCAAATTCACGGCCTTTACCTTTCTTTATAGTTGAATCTGCAAAATAAATCCAATGTTTAACACATCTGGAGTTTAGAAGATCCTTTTTAATTATATACATGCATATCATTCTGTGCCAATAATTCAGTTTGCTAATTTTGATGAAAGAATGAAGTACCATTTGAACTAAACTCTTCTACTGAAAGAACATAAAAACCAAAGTCCTTCATATGATGAAAAGTGTTATAAATAAAACATACACAAAATCCAAACCATGAAGTTCCATTTAGATTTCATTAATGAAATGCTTCTAACAGGAAGGTAAGTATAGAGTAATATTCAAGTACTCTAAAGCATAAAGAAAAACAATATTAGTTTTAAAAGAAAGGAAAGGGAAAAAGTGGAAACAAGCCTCGTTCTCTCTTTCCAGACAAAGAAAGAGTGTTTTGTACATCTGTAATTGTGGACAGACACAAACACATAAATGAATGTGCATATTGCAAGTAGTCATTACCTTCACAAATAAATCTGCTTAGATTCAACAGTGGAGCTGTCAGCCCTTAGTCAATGTTAAGACCATGCCACCTTCTGGTTGCTGTATGCATGACAGGTGCTCATATTGTTGACAGACTGGAGTGCTTCTGTCTTATGCAAAACTTATATTGAAGGAAAACAGCAGATCCGTTACTGGTGCTGTTCCCTCTGTCCCCTAGGGACTGTATTGGATGAGAACAAGATCCATAAATGTACTCCAGTGACTGCTGTGCTTTAAAATGCAAGTTTGCTTTTCAGCTTGATCAACTGTAATGGTATATGATAAGCCAGACACAAGCGCAGACAGGACTACAATTGTGAGAACAGCAGGACTTGGTGTCTTTTCCCTGGATGCCACTTTTTGAATTTCTTAGAGTCAGAGAAATGAAGTTCCAGCAACTGAAGCAAAGCCTCTGCAGTCGGGGAAAGCAGTTGGGGGACAACGCCATGCTGTCTATAATGCTGCAAAAGAAGAAATAGATGTGCTGGATAATTTCTAGCCCTCTCTGAACATGTAATTGTGGCCAAATGATATATGAGGCATTTTGTTCTGCTTAAACCCCTCCTTAGTGTCAATTAGATCCATGATGACATCATGGTCTTCGGAATCTTGGCCGGGGATGTGAGCTCAGTGATGTCATACCTTTGCTACCAAACAGGGCATCATTATCTGCAGGACTTTTAGCCGGCCCATAACTACTCATCTTATGCACGTATCTCCTATGGTTTGCATTCAAAGCAATACTGTTTAGAAAGGTATGACATCCACAAAGTAAGGTACTGATTTTCCCATGCCCAGTGCTTAAAGGTTTGTGTGTCTTAATGAAAATCAGCCGCCAGAAAACTGGAAATTACATGAGATTTGGAAATGTGTCTATAGAGGCAAATATATTTATAGAACATGATCAATTGAGTAATTGATATTTACACTTTAACAATGTAGAGTGTTTAAGATTTCTTGAGCAGGTCACATTTTGCCACATTACCTTCCTCTCCCCTTCTATGTGCTGCCCACTTTCCTACACCTACAAATACAAGAGACCATCTTCAAAATTCATGAGCAATGTATTGTGAAAAAACTATGTACATATTTCAAATTTTTTTCACACCAAAATACTTACATTTAATTCCATTTTTTACAAACTTTTTGAAGCATCCTTGTATACTCCCAATCCTGAAAACAAACCAGAAAGCCAAGACTACTTTTACCACCACAAAAGAAGTGGGGCTTTATTATAATGAGCCAAATGATTTGTTCAACTTTGTATTTATTTCTGCTTTCCTCTGATGATCCAAATACATTTTTTACAAATGGAATCATTTCTGAATCTACAAATATACTCAAGAAAAGAGCATGCAGAAGAAAAAAAATGCAAGGTTTACTTAAAACATTAAATTCAGCTGGCTGCCTTTATTGTCTTAAGTTGATATTGGGATTTGCTCAATATAAAATGTTATTATGAAAAGTAAAACCTTCAGTGATATGTTTTTAGTAGTACCCTGATTTTTAACTACTCACTGTGATAATAATCTCAACTAAAGGGTGCACATGATGCTTTGTATCAACTCACAGAATGAAAAGAACAAGATCCAAGTGTGAGACTGATGGGGGTGTGAATTACTGATGCAAACGGACTCACCTGAGGTGGACTGAAAACCAGTGAAAACAAGAGTCAGTTTATAGAACTCCCACCAGCCAAATATGGGACTACTTTAGAATCAAGGTAAATAATGATAGTAAAAGTTTGTAATCGAACAGGGTAAATCTCCATGAATCCATGCTTAATATAAATACATAAATGAATGAATAAAAGGAAATACTTTTCCTTGTGGTTGAAAGGCAACTAATAAATGTGAAAGAAATTCTGATTTTAGAAAATTACCTTTAAGCAACCACCAGAATAATAACTGATTCTGGGAAATATCATTAAAGGTCACTGAAACCAGTGAATATAAGTCAGAAGGTTACTTATAAAATCTCACAGTGTCTCTCTATAGAATACAAACTTGAAAGTGGAGAAGGGTGGCAAACCTCCCCTTAACCAAGTGACCAAAGCTAGCACTGCCAAAAAATGCACAAATCTATTTGTGCTTCCAATGCAATGCACTGAAAAGAATTTAGCATGGTTTGCATGGGATATTCCTGCCAAAATTCCCGAATCTAAGTTCATGACAAAACATGAGACCCAACCCTAAGTGAGGGAAATTCTATAAAAAATTGGCTAATGCATTTTTATTTTTTAAAAAATGCCAGTGTCGTGGAGTACAAAGAAGGCTCAAATATAGTTCATTTTAAATGACTAAAGAGACCTGATGGCTAACTGCAACACATGACCTTGGCTTGCCTTCTTACACAAGACATTATGTCACTGGCAAAATCTGAATATAAGTCTGTTGTTTAGATAGTTGTGTTATTTCAGTGTGAGTCTTCTGATTTTGTTAATTGGTTACATAATAATAATTGTTTCCAGAAAATACAAACTGGAATATTTAGGGGAAAGAGGTTTCATCTCTACAATTTACTTTTAAATTGTTCAGTAAAAACCATGGTAAATGTTAATAATAGAAATGTGTATTTGAGAATTCTCCATATTATTCTTAAAACCTTTCTACAAGTCTAACATTTTCAAAGAAAAATCAGTACAAAATGAATAAAGTTCCATATCTTTTGGCTTATCACAGGGAATTGCTAATTTGCTTAATAATAAGTAACTTTTTTTTTCCAAAAAGCAATTCAAGAGAAGCATTTGGCACAGCACTTTGGACACCATTTGAGATGCCCACATCCCATATCAGAGTGCCTGCATTCGTGTCTTGGCTCCACCCCTGATTCCAAATTCCTGCTAATGTGTGCTCTGGGAGGCAGCATGTAACTGCATAAGTATTAGGGTTCCTGCCACTCATGTGGGAGGACTGGATTGAGTCCCATGCTCCTAACATCAGACTGCCTAGCCTCAACTATTGAGGATATTCGTGGAGTGAACCAGTGAATGGGAGCTCTCTCTCTCTCTCTCTCTCTCTCTCTCTCAAGTAAACAAAATAAATGTAAATGTTTACTTAAAAATATTTTCTCCATTATTTAAAAAAATCAAGTTGTTTTAGTCTCAGATACATCCAGCTTTAGATAATGAAGTAAAATTTGCCAGCCATGTCTTTTCAGTGTACCTTCTAGGCATACCCAGCTGCAAATTAGCTCCTTTTCCTATTTAAGTCACAGTTTCTCTTCTTTCCAGCACTCTTGTTCCTTGTTTCATTCAAGAAAATTTTATGGTGCTGCATTTACAACCAGATCATGTTATTTGCTTGGAATTCAAAGATGAGTCTGAAACTAAAACATACATTGCTAATTCCAATAGAGTATGTTTCATAAGTAAACAAAAAGAGGAAGAACAAGGGGAGAAAATTGTGACGTGAGGTCTTGACAAGGGAATGGAGGTGTACAATGCAGGTAGGAGGTAGGGTGAGTCAAGTCCCTGAGGGGTAGCAGGTGAGCAGATTAGGACCTCTTATTGTGGGGGCATGGAGACAATGGAGATGGAAGTAGCAGCACACAACGCAAGGCCTGGTTCAGAACCTGTTTGCTCCACGATAGAGTCTTGAAGCAGGACAGGGGTGCACTTACACTGTGATGCAGGATCTGTGTTGCTCAGATTCCCTTTCCAATGCTTTTGTCTATGCACTGTTTCCACATCAAATAATTGTTTTAGATCAAGTGTTGTGCTATTTTGAGAGACACATGACAAAAAAGATGCATCTTCATTGTGGGGTGCTGGTTTTTTTTTTCCCTGTGGTTTCTAACCTGTGAATCTGGATCACTTTTAGAGGCCACTGTACATTATAGTAGGTCTGCATATATTTATTTCTGAACCTCCTTCCTGGTAATTGCTACACCTGCTGTCCTTATCAGGCTAGCAAAAAGGAAAATTATTGGAAATACACTACAGTACAATGTAAGGCAAACTTTGTTTTGCCCTAGCAAATCTTTAGTCTATTTAAAATCTCCTCAAAGCTTTGGTTCAATTCCAGCAAGTAATACTGAAATTATAAGATTTCCTAAAAGTAATCTTTTTAATTCATTTACTTAACAATATTCCTATCACCTTAACATTTATAGGACAAAAATAATTATGTCATTTGTATAATTCTGAAATGGTTAGTCATTATTTTCAATTATTTTTTCACAGTATGGTATGATCATTTATATTTCCTGCTTAGTTTACTAATTAGGTTAATAGTCTACTTCTAAGTACTATAGTATTTTATTTCATGGTGTTTGAAAGCTATCTGGTATGAAATATACTTCTCATTGCATGAGTTCATATGTCATCATTATTTTATGTATATTTTTGTCATTTTGAGGTAGTTTACATATTCTCAAAGCGCATCATGTTTAACCTACAGCACCTACTGCATGTCCAACATTTTTTTAGGTACTCTCAGAGGATCATAAGAATGAGTAGTAGGCAGAGACAGGTGAAAATAGAGAGAGCTCCCCTAGAAAATAATTGTTGGTAATTAGAGAATGACACAGGTTTCTCTAATGTATACATCCATTAGCACTGGACTCGAATTTGAACCATCCTACTGCTGTTTTAACAACACAAGTTTAGACAAGTTACTTAGCCACTCTAAGGCTTGATACCATGTGCATAAAAGCGAAGATCAAAAGGACACAATCAGAGATGGGCATTTGATCTAGTGCTTAAGATGCCCCTGGAACACCACCCACATTTCCTATCAGATTGTCTGGATTTAAGGCCTGGCTCCACTCCAATTCCAGCTTCTTGCCAATATACACCCTGGAAAGCAGCAGGTGATGGTTTAAGCAGCTGAGTCTGTGCCACTCATGTGAGAGACCTGGGTAGAGTTCCTATCTCCCAGCTTTTGTCAGGCCTAGCCACAGCTACTGCAGGCATTTGGAAAATGGACTATCTCATCCCCTGTCTCTCTTTATGTCCCTCTGCCTCTCAACCACGGGAGCTGGGCCAATCCAAACCCAGGAGTCAGGAGCTTCTTCTGGGTCTCCCACACGGGTGCAGAGGCCCAAGGACTTGGCCCACCTTCTACTGCTTTCCCAGGCCAGCAGACAGCTGGATCAGAAGTGGAACAACCACGCAACTCCAGGAAGTGGAGTGCCAGCAACGCCCATATGGGTTGCTGGCAATGCAGGCAGCAGCTTCACCCTCTACACCACAGCACCAGGCCCCCTTTTTATGTTTATGTGACCCTGTTGCAGCAGGTGATATACATGGACATTCAACTGTTATAGGTGAGATATTGTGAACCAATCTGAGGTTAATGCCACTCTTCCCATTCCAATCAGTTTGGGCATGGTCAGTAATCAAGTGTGGATATGAATTTCTAAATTAGAGAAGAAAAATCCAATCCTAATTTAGAGTTTACTCACTTAAGAGAGGTTGGGACCAGGTGTTAATGCCATGGCAAGTCAAGCTACTGCTTGGGGATAGCCACATTCCTTTGAGTCCCAACTCCTCTGCTCCTCATCCAGTTTTCTGCTAATGTGCTTCAGAAACATTGGGTGATGACCCAAGTGCTTGGGTTCCTGCTATCCATGTAGTAGATCTTGATGGAGCTCCTGGCTCCTGGCTTTAGCCTGGTCAAGCCCTAGTTATCAAAGACATTTGGGAAGTAAACCAATAGATAGAAGTCTCTCTCTCTCTCTACCCCCCACCTTGTCATTCTGTCTTTCAAATAAATAAATCTGTTTTAAAAGGAGAAGTTGATTTTAGTGGTCCAAGCCTCAAGTCAGACACTGAGGATCTGGGCTAACACCAAGATCCTGGCTCTTCCACCTCTCCTTCCATGCTGTGAGACCTTGGGGAAATTATTCAGCTTTCCTGAGCACTGTCTTCCACATTTGTCAGTAAGGGATGACAGAACTTACTTTGTGATACTGTTGTGAGAGGCTTAGTAGTAACCTTTTCTTGAAGAACTAGCAAACAGTAGCTCTTCAATAAATGCCAATTTATAATCTTAAATCATTTCAATGTGAAATCAAATAGAATTCTTCCTAATCTTGTATTTGAGTAATTTTCTTTTAATCTATAAAGGAGACTAATGATTTTTCCAAAACTTAAATGGAAGTGGTACTATTGAGTTCACATACATTTTAGAAAAATACAGATTTTCAAGGTAATTCTTTCACTTGACTGATAATGGTAAAGTGGAAATTTCTGTGGGTTTAGCTATAAATAATACCCCCAGAGGGAGTATAGAGAAACATCAAAATAAGCCAAAAGAATTGGTGAATGAATAGTAAAGTAATTTTTCTCCAAAGATTTCCCAAAAGATATAGTTTGTATGTTTAGGGCTTTACTTTTTCCTGTACTGTTATTTTGGGCTTGTATTATATCCCAGGTTCTGGGAATAATAAATGACTGAATCTCAGCTCTTACCCTGTCTTGTAGATAAAACACTTCGTATCATAGCGTATCAGTATATTTCAACATGAAGACTTCCAGCAGAGTATAGTCATACCTGAGTGCAGAGGATGAGTTTAATGATCGCTTGATGCCTATTCCAACTGAATGGTTCTATAACAAGCAATAAGCTGTTAGGATACCATGGGTTTTGGGATCCATGACTTGCTACAACATGATTAGGTTCTGTGCGCTGGAAGAAAAGGATAATCAAGAGAGCATAACTGTTCAGCATTTCCACCTGTGCAAGTGGTTTTAGGTGCTAATATACATTTCTCAATGAA